ATCCCACTGAGAAGCAGCAGCAGAGCACATTGCGGGTATGACGAGAAAAGATTCCAGGTAGAAGGACAGAGAAGTCCCTCTTATGTTCTGTATGCATTATCAGCAACTTGTGTTTAAACTGCATGTTCTGGGGCCCCATCTCCAGAGATTGATTCAGTAATAGGTCCCCAGAATCTACATTTAATGCAAATCCATCCATGATTCACATGTGAATTGCAAATTCCCCTTTAAAAATTATTTGTCAAGGTCCTTTCAAGGTAACAAAACAGAATCCAGTTATCTCCAGAGTCAGACTGTGGGTCATGTGGATTCAAGTTATATCACACAAAAGGGTTTTTTTTCAGGGTCTTAGAGCATTTTCCAACAGACCAATACATGTACCTGGGATTCTGGAGAATGGAACCAGGACCCCTTTTTGTCCCCTGCCACAACCCATGCACCTGCATCAGACAGATGACTGTGTAGTACTAAAGGAGAAATGGAGTCTAAAAACCACCAGATATGGTGCCTCTTCTTGGAGGGAGTAACAAGACAAAGCAGTGTATGAAAAAAGGATGTTTATTAAGTGCACCTTTTACAAAGCAGACATATCATGATTGGCCACGTCACTCACCAGTTAGCACAGTACACAGGAGTACCACAGGAGGTCACCACAGTGGAACAAAACCAACACTGCATGTTTAGTGGTATATCATTGCAACTGGATACAAAAAGAGAAAAAAGTGAAGAACTCTGAAACCAGGATCTTCATCAAAGGCATTATGTCCCCTTGCATTTTCTGAAATGGTGACTCATAGACTCATCTCCAAAAGGAGATCACATTTGCAGAAGATTTTTTTTTCAGGGACTAAAGAAATAATGCTCAGGGTCTACACATTTACTTTTGATGATGAGAACTCTGAAACACTCCAGAAGGCTCCAGCTGACTGGCACCTCCAGTCATGCACATGGTTTGTGAATTGGTCTGAAACTGTAGGAAGAGGCAGGTGCTGGGCAGACCTCAGGTAGGGGGTCTGGGAAAAGACATAGATAACCAAAGTCCAGGGAACATTTTGGACCTCTGCACTCATTCTTCCAGACTTAGGTTGGAGAAAGAGACAATGAAAAATATTCTCAGGGATGAGATTGGGAGGGGAGAGGTATAGATCCAGGAGTGTTGTGGAAATCAAATGTCACTTATATACCATGAAACACAGACTCTGCTATCATTATAAGACCCCAGGTACTAGTAAGGGCTTTCATATGAAGAGAATGATTACCTATTGGGTTTGATGCCTAAGATCCTCACAACTCCAGGGTCCCAGGAAGGTGACTATCCCCTTGGTCCTCATTGACCTCAGTTGGCTCCAAGATGGCAACTTCTCAGGAACAGCAGGACTAGAGCATTTGCAAGGCACAGACCACATCACCACTACATTTGCACCCCAAAGCTCTAAGACATGGGCACAGAGACCCAAAATAAGCATCCTGTTAGCTTCCCAAAGAGGAAGGACAGGCTGGTGTTGGCACTCTGAGCACGTGTCATAGCACCATGGTGCAAGGTCTGACTCCAAAGATGGTATTGCCTTCCATCTCTGGTTGGTACTGAAGATCTGTACTAAACTGTAAGAGGTTGAGCACTGGCACTTCAGTATGTGCCTCTCCTCTCCCAGAACATCTAGACCATGCTGGCTCATTTGTATGCATTGTGTGTGTGTGTGTGTGTGTGTGTGTGTGTATGTGTGTGTGTGTTATGGACCTGTGGCTTTTGGAAAGTGCTCTTGCTGTATCTCAATAAATTAAAAAATGTGTATAGTTATTCAAAGGTGCCCCAGAGTGCACTAAGCTGACCAGTCCCAGACAGAAAATCTCTAATCAATACTGTCCTGTATTTAATGACTAAAGGAATTTCTATTTCTTAGACATAGTCAGGTCCTATCCATGGGCTGAGAGGACATTTGAGAACATGTTTATCAGAAAAGCAGAACCTTTGAGGCCCTTGGAGAATTGCTATTCTAAATAAAACAAGACCATCTACAGCTACAAGTGTCCCTTGTGCCTTTATTAAAGCCAGGTGAGGGAGGGCGTTATCACCACCTCTGCTGTTGGCCAAAATGGAAACACGCTCTCTTGCAGAAACTCGGAAGCGGTGAGTCACATAAGAAACAAGAGCTCAGGGAGGTAAGAAATTCCAAGCAATTCATCCATCATGCTAGCTTTCCCTGAATTCAACTGCAGAACATTTTTTATCTTGTATCTTTTACACGTGCAGTTCAGATACACATTAAAAAAAAAAAAAAACCCGAAAGTTGGTTCTCAAAATTGTGCACCAATTCCAGACCATTTTCACCACCCAAAAAATGAACCAAATCCTCTTTGAAGTTGCTCCAATTTCCCGTAGCTTCCAGCCTCTGAAAACCTTTACTCAATAGTCAATTTCTGTAGATTTCTATAGATTTATCTGGACATTTCAGACAAAGAGAATCAAACAATGTTTGACTTTTGGAACTGTTTTCTTTTACTCAGCATTTTTTTTAAGGTTCATCCATGTTGTAGTATGAATTGGTACTTTAAAAATTTTTAATATATATTTTTAGTTGTTGACAGACCTTTATTTTTATTCACTTATTTATATATAGTGCTGAGAATCAAATGCAGTGCCTCACACATGTTAGGCAAGCACTCTACCACTGAGCCACAACCCCAGGCTAGTACTTCCTTTATATGGCTAAATAATGTTCCACTGTATAGATAATTTTTTAATCCATTCATCAGTTGGTAGACAATTGGGTATTTCTTCTTTGGGACATTAATAAATAATGTTGTAGTCAACACTGGTATGCAAGTTTGGGTATGTATATATATCTTTTGATTTCTCTTAGGTTTAAACCAAAGAGTGGTACTTCTAGATGCTACAGTCATTCTATGCTTAACTTTTTGAGGAACTGCCAAACTGGTCTCCACCATGGCTGCATCATTTGCATTCCCACTAGCAATTTCTGAAGGTTCTACTTTCTCTACATCTTTGTCAGCACTTCTTATTGTCCAGCCTTTACACTGTAGCCATCTTAGTAGATGTGAAGTAGAATCTCACTGTGGTTTTGACATGCATTCCCCTAATGAAAAATAATAATGTTGAGCATCATCCTTCTGCTTATTTGTGACTTGTGTATCTTCTCTGGAGAAATATCTATCCAAATCTTTGCCTATTTTTAAACTGGCTTCTTTTTGTTTATTTATTTTAAGAGTTCTTTATGTATTCTGTATACACATCCCTTATCAGATAATATGATTTGCAAATATTTTCTCCTATTCTCTCTAGTTGTCCTTTTACTCTCTGGATAATTACAGAAGTTTTATATTTTGATGAAATCCAATGAATCTATTTGTCCTTATATCTTTGGTATCACATCAAAGCAAAAATTGTATAATCCAAGATCACACAGATTTTTTTTAAGCAGGATGTAGATTTATTGTTTATATAGGGTTGCAACCAGGTAAAATCACACAGATTTATGCCTGTTTTATTCTAAGTGTTTTTTTAGGTTTAGCCTTTCCATTTAGGTCTTGGATAAATTTTGAATTAGTTTTTGGTATGGTGTGGGTAAGGGTCCAACTTCATTCTTCAGTGTGTGCACATTCAGCACCAGTTGTTTGAAAAATGACTGTTTCCCTACAGAATCATCTTAGTTCTCTTGGTGAAAATAAATTGACCATAAATATAAGGACTATATCTGTACTCTTTATTGTATTCCATTGCTCTAAATGTCTATCCAGAATTTAGTTCCACACTGTTTTGATTACTATAGCTTTATAGTAATTTTAAATCAAAAAGTGTGAATCCACCAAATTTCCTTTTCTTTTTCAAGGCATTTTTTGGTCATTCTGGGTTCCTTGAATTTCCTTATGAGTTTTAGGAGCAGCTTATCAATTTCTGCAATTAATCCATCTAAAATTTTGATAAAGATTGCACTGAATCTGTGCAACAATTTGAACAGTATTGAGGTCTTAGCAATATTAAGTCTCTGATCCATAAACACAGGGTGTCTTTCCATTAATATAAGAGTTTTATTTGAATGATATTTTGTAGCTTTCAAGGTACAAGTCTTACATTTCTTTTGTTGAATTTATTTCTATTTTATTGTCTCTGATGCTATTATAAATGGAATTGTTTCTTAATTTTTGAATTGTTCATTGGTAGTATAAAGAAATGCAATCAATCTTTATGTATTGATCTTCTAGCCTACAACTTTGGTGAACTCATTTATTTAATAGGGGTGTGTGTGTGTGTGTGTGTGTGTGTGTGTGTGTGTGAATTCCTTAGGATTTCCTATATATACAAAATCGTGTCATGTACAAATAGCTTTACTTCTTCCTTCCTTTTAGTTCTCTTTCCAAAATGCTTGTTAAATATTAGCTTCTTAAACATCTTCAAGCCAAGTTCTCATTTGTTATCTATGCCAGATGGCCTTAGAGGGGATCTCCTCCTCCAAGGGCAATCTCCTGACAGCTGGTCCCCAAAATGTTAAGATTTGTCCACTCAAAGGCAAAAACACTCTCTCTGAGGTCAGGAGGAAGTTAGCACCACCCTCACCATCTGAAGTCCCACCCCCACTAATTTACCAAGCCCAGAACATCTGATCAAGTTGGTTACTAATCCCATACTTATTACCTTTCATAAGAACCCATAATAAAGGAGTAAAAAGATACTGGAGAGGTCCAGGGGAGAAAAGTTCCACCCACTGCAGAGAATAGCCATGGGGTCAGGGTAACAGAAGTACCTGTAGGAGCTCAGGGTGACTATCTGATGGAGGAGTCACCTTCCACCACAGAAACCATCTTCCACCACAGAAACCTCTTCCCCACCCCAAACCAGTTCCCCATCACCCTCAAGCTACCCCAAGGTATAGAGGGACACGAGCTGATCAGTACCTGATACATACATGTACATGGGCCACCAAGGGGTAGACTGTGTCAGCACAACCCAGCCTCAGGAGGTGGCTTTGACCCAGACCAGTGGGTCACGCTGTTGATGGCTGGGAGCAGCTCCTCTGGCTGGAGCTGCGTCGGCTCAAGACAAATGTGGAGGAGTTGCTCTTTTTGCTGACGCTAGTCTCTCCTGGGCGGCTACCCTTCAGATGGCTGGAGGAGCAGCAGAGGAAGCGCTGTACCAGTTCATGGAAGAGGTGGCCTGTGAAGAGCATGTAGATCCAGGGGTTGCAACAGCTGTTGAGGCTGGCCAGAAGCATGGCGATGATGAAGGCCGAGGCTGTGGGTGTGGGAAGAGGCAAACAGGGCATCACTGTGGGAGCCTTCTGGCACCATCTGATTTATCCATTGTTTCCTAGCAACAGCCTTTTCCATGTACCACTACCAACATCACAGGACAGGGCACTAAGGAAGCAATGAATGTCTTCCTTCTGAAACCTTGCTCTGGGAATCCTTTCCAATCCCCCCAGGCTCACTCCACCCCTGGAACAGTCTCCCCCTTTCTCTTATCCAAAGCTTACCTGCTGTATGCCTCCACTGGCAGGAACAGTACACACAGCAGCCACCTGATCATTCATCACTCACCCAGCAAGTGTTGAGTCCCTACTACTTAGAAGGTCAAAGAGCAAAGTCCAGAAGCTGCCAGCCCTAGTTTGCATTATAGTCCCAGCAGTGACAGATCACTTTAGTTCCCCCAAGAAGCTTTGATTTCCTAATCTTTAAACAGGGATAATGTGAATATCTAAGTCTCCTGGAAGGTGGCAAGGATTAGATTAGAGTGTGCCCAATAAATGGTGGCTGCTATCATGACAGTGTGCCAGGCATCAGGCTCAGCACTGAGGAAACACACACTCAAAACAAAAATGAAATGGGAAAGGAAAAAATTTAATCCTAGGTACTTTCAATCAGAGGAGAAAAAAATCTAGCTATTATGGTTTATATATGAGGTGTCCCTCAAATGCTCTTGTGTTAATGTAGGAACATTCAGAAGTGAAATTATTAGATTATGAGAGCTGTAACCTTATCAGTGGATTAACCCATTATATGGTTAATAATGTGAATGAATTAGCTGGGCATTAAGTGTAGTAAGCAGAAAGAAGTTGGTCACGGGCGGTGGTGCTGCCTTTGGGGGTTATATTTTGTCCCTGGTATGTGTCTGTGTGTCTCTCCGTCTCTGTCTCTGTCTCTCTTCTAGCTGAACAGTTTTCCTCTACCATACCCTCCCATCATGATATTACCCCTGCCTGACCTCAGGCTAAGAGCAATGGAGTTGGCTCACCATGGACTGAACCTTTAAAACTGGGAGCCCTGAGCAAACTTTTCCTCCTCTAAGTTGTTCTTGTCCAATATTTTGATCATAAATGACAAAAAGGTGACCAGCACATCTAAGTTTCTTTCGATGGTCTTAAATCTGATGGTTTTAAATCAGACTTTAGCCAAAGATGAGGCCAGACCCCATGAGAAAAAACAATACAACAACATAACCAAGAATTCCTTTCACAGTCATATGTTTATGAGCAAAGACGATCACAATTAGTCTAGGGAATCCACCAGTCTTTTGTCTTTTCTGAAAAATCTTCCAGAAATAACTCCAGAATTCAATTCAAGAGTTATATCCAGGGAAGAATTCTTCACACAGAGGTTTGGTTTTTTTTTTTTTGGTTTGTTTGTTTGTTTGTTTTTTTGTTTTGTTTTGTTTTGTTTTGTTTTGTTTTTGTCAGCATAGTCTCTAAGCACCAAAAGGAGAAGGGCAGTGGTCCTTCTAAGACACATCCAAGGGAGTGGTTCTCAAAGTTGGGCCCCCAGAGCAGCAGCAGCTCATTTGTTGGAAATGCAAATTCTAAGACACAATCCCAGAACCACCCAATCAGGCCCTCTAGAGAAATTTGTTTTAAGAAGCCCTCTGAGTGGTTCTGATATACACCCAAGTTTAAGGACTGATTAACTGGTGCACCTGTTGGAATGAAAACATACTACAATGGACAAAAACCAAATATGTTGCAAAACAAGATTTTTAGAAAGCAAAGGAAAGGAATCTAATCTTTATAACAAAAAGAATAGAAAAGAGGAAAAGTCAAAGGGGGAAAATGCCACTTTCATTGAATTCCTTGGTTTTTATAAAAGAATTTTTTTAAAACCTGCTTTTGTTTTGGATGGTTTAGAAGATGAAATTAAGTTTAGAATGTCTGGTAAAATATTTTAAATTAAATTAAAAATCACCCACAAGACTAGAAATAGGATGTGTTCGAAATCATAAAAGAAGCAAAATCAACATATAAGAGTCAAAGTTTTTAAAAGGCATCAAAARGTAAACTGTTAGCCACAAAAGGAAGAATAAGGGGATGAAATGGGACAGAAGAAAATATAAGGAATGAAGTTCACACCTGGAAGGAAAGCCTCCAAATTTTACTTTATATGATACAAGTGAGGCGTATCTAATAGGAAAAGAAAAATCCCAAATGCTCCAAAATCAGAAACTTTCTGAACCTGATACAATATCACAAATAGAAAATTCCACATCGGACCTAATATAAMAGATCACAGTCAAAACACAGCTGCACTAAAGCTGTCCTATGAAACTGCCTTATATCTATCTGTATAAGTTGTAAATGAAACAAATGAACTTCATGTTTAGGCTTGGGTCTCTTCCCTGTTATGGTTTACATATGAGGTGTCCCCTGAAAGCCCATGTCTGAAACAACGCAAGAAAGTTTAGAGGTGGAATGATTGGGTTATGAGAGCCTTAACCTCCTCAGTACATTAATCCACTGATAGGGATTAATTAACTGAGGTCAACTGTAGGGAGGCAGGGTGTGGCTGGAGGAGGTGTCACTGGGGGCATGCCTTTGGGGTTTATATTTTGTCCCTGGTGTGCAATGTCTGCTTCCTGTTGCCATGCCCTGAGCTGCTTTCCTCTGCCATACTCTGCTACCATGATGTTCTGCTTTACCCTGGTTCCAGAGCTGTGGAGTCAGCCGCTGTCTGTGGAATGAGACCTCTGAAACTGTGAGCCAAGTAAATTTTTCCTCCTCTAATTGTTCTTGTCAGGTCTTTTGGTCACAGTGGCAAAAAATCTAACTAAAGCATACCTCAAGATATTACATGATATATATATATAGATAGATAGATAGATAGATAGATATGCAAATATTCCAAAGCCCACCCCCTCCCAAATAGAAATATATATACAAAATCTGAAATACTTCTGGCTCAAAGCATTCCAGATAAGGGATCCTCAACCTATAATCTTCTCTGTTTATTTAAGCTATTTGCCTCACTCTTTACATTTGCATCTTCTAACTTTTATATTCTTTTAAATTTTTTTTAGTACCAGGTATTAAAACCAGGGACCCTTTAACACTGAGCTATATCCCTAGCCCCTTTTTAGTTTTGACACAGAGTCTCTTTAAGTTGCCAAGGCAACTTGAACTTGTAATCCTCCTGTCCCAGTCTCTTAAGTCACCAAGACTACAGGCATGTGCCACCACACTCGGGTATCCTATTTTTCAAAAAAAGAAAAACAACAGCACGAAAAAGTAAATAATTAATTACTATCTAGTCACATAAGCCTTTCTATCTTCAAGCAGCCGGCCTAGATGGGAGATGTCTGGTTCAAGGCCAGAATCTCTGCTCCCACCTGGCGTCCACAGACATGAACTAGCCTGACTGGTACAGGCTCCCCCAGGGATGAACAACCATTGCTAARTTGAATGGATCTACTTATGTCAAGTTACCAACACTAACAGGTACATTTGGATTTTTTTAAAACTGGCAAGATCTTAATCATCCAAAGACATGAGTGCAAAGAGGGTAGAATTTGTAGTCTCCCCATTGGCCAGGAGGAGAGATACATGGCGATAGACAAGAGGGACTATGGAGGTTGTTTCAATGGAAGAGAGCAGCAGGAGTAAAAGCCCATGGTCTAGCAACATCCTGGGACTTTCAGGGGAATGAGAGGCGGGGAAAGAAGAAACCAGAAAGACGATTTAGAATTTGCTGAGGGAGATGTTGAATCCAGTGAGTAATCAGGAGTCCCAGCTTTACCACTTGGTAGCTGTGTGTTCTTGGGCAAGTCATCTAACCTCTCTTGACTTGAGTTCCTCCAACCTGAAAAATGGGAAAAATCAAAATCTTCTTCACTGAATTATTTCAAGGCTCACTTGTATGGGATTCTGTTATGGTTTGGACGAAAGATGTCCCCCAAAGCTCCTGTGAGTGCAGGAATATTCAGAAGTGAAATGATTAGATGTGAGAGCTGTAACCTAATCAGTCCATTTGAATGTAGTCATTGTAGGCAGGTGGGGCATGATTGGAGGAGGTGGGTCCCTGGAGGTATGCCCTAGAAGAATATACCATCCCTGGAGACCTCTTTGCTCTCTTCTTCCTGGCTACCATGAATGGAGCCACACTCCTCCATCATTCTTTCTGCCTGATGTTCTACATCATGTTGGGCCCAGGGCAATGGACTCAGCCAACCATGTACTAAACCTCTGGAGCCTTCCCTAAATTGTTCTTGTCAGGTATTTTGGTCACAGCAATGAAAAGCTAACAGAAATCAAGTGGAGCTGGGGATTCCTGGCACTTGTTAACCACAAACAGCAGAGCCTAGGTATAGTCATTGCTACTACAGTGATGTGTAAGTGCTCAATAAATACGCTGTTCTTTCTCATTGATAATGGTTAGCACCATGTAAGAGAAGAAGAGGAGACTCCACTCCCACAGCTGGAGTGTGTCTTGGAATATGAACAGCAGGCCCCAAGTTGGGTATAGAACATAGGACCCCCTGGCTGAGCATCTGGAAACATCACTGACATATGGTGGTGTCTGTGCATTGTGGCTCCTAAGCCAGACTTCCTGGCTAAGAAGGTCAGTTTATACGAAGATTCTCACACTGGCTCAAAAGGCCCCACCAYCAACATAAGCCTTAGGGTGGATCTGCCCTTTTCAGCTAGCTTGAATTTTCTATAGGTTTAAACAGGCTGAAAGATGGGCCATTTGCAGAGAGTGCAGGGGAGATGTCTGGGCTCCATGAAGGAGTACTGAAAGTATCTCACCCGGCCCTGCAGCTTGCAGGTCCTGCATCAGTGGAGAAGTGCTGAGATCGGCTTTAACTCCCTGGTTGGCCTGGACATTCCAGTTGAGAGAAGTTGCTATCTTTTTAAAATATTTATTTATTTATTTATTGTAGGTGTACAAAATAACTTTTTATTTATTATTTATTCATTTTTATGTGGTGCTGAGGATCAAACCCAGGACCTTGTAGCGCTCTACCGCTGAACC